TATATATATACTTAAAATATTCACCATGCACCTTGTTCATATGAAAAACGTCTACATCTAAAGGATGGTGATACTTGTGGATCCACCATATAATCAATTCAACAAATACTGATTGGTTGATCAGGATGAAGTACACCAAAATCAAAATGCAAATAAACAACTTTATTTCCAAGGCATCTTCAATGTCAATGTCAAGCAAACACGTATAGTGAAAAATGGGAAGAATCACAAGAAAACACTGTAAATATTCATGATAGTATATTTGAAACAGTCTACAACATTCAACTAGGCTGTTCAACAAAGTAGAAATACAGGGATTGATGGAATGAGTGAGTCATGATTGGTTCTGGGGGTAGAGACTGTATGCCAGTCTGGAAAATCTTGAAGGCTCAGACTAAGAGGAAAGAAAGTGCCTCCTTTAACATAGAGGCCCCATGGACAAAGTGAAGGTTGTGAATTTTCCAGAGGTGATACTGCTGGGCATAGTGGCTCATTCCTTTAGTTCCAATACTGGTTTACATAGTGAGTTCCAGGTCAGCTGGGCTACAGGGAGACCCTGTCTCAAAAAAAAAAAAACCCAAAAAACAAAAACCAGGGAGGGGGTGATACTACCTCTAGGACAGTGAAAACCTAGTACAATGATATGCAGATTACCAAAGCTCATCCTCACCCAACAAAATCAATTAACCTTTTTTCCTTAGGATGGGATAATGAAGAAAGGTTAAGAAACATTAGCATAACTGTGAGATCATAATAAATGGAACTGCAAGTTACAGACACAAGGTAAATTGTTGGGGTGGTGGGGAGAAACCAGTCCAGATGGAACCACTTAATAATAGTATAGTTCAGGAAAAGTATTTAGTACTGTCTTGCCCCACTCATTGCATTAACCATGATTACCCCAGGGGAAGATGTATTTATCATTTATAGTCTAACCCTGGAACCAACTACTCAGTGTATCTATCATCCTACCATAAAACCTGAGATATAGTTGCCACATACTTAGAAGTTAAATTCAAAATGATTTCAAGGGGCTGGAGGGATTATTAAGTACACTTATTCCTCTTGGAAAAGACCCAAGTTTGGTTTTCAACACCTACATGGGTGACTCACAACTGCCTGTAACTAGCTCCAGAGGGATCCAATGTTTCTGACCTCCCCGGTTACCTTCACTCATGTGCACATACCCACATAAGAATAACTTCCTAAGAAAGAAGACAACATTGCATGCAGTCTGCAAACTTGGAAGACCATCCTGCACTTTATAGGCATAATGTTTACTTCATTTTCCTTCCTCCTTCCTTCCCTCCCTCTCTTCCTCTTCTTTCTCTCCAGAGGGATCCAATGTTTCTGACCTCCCCGGTTACCTTCACTCATGTGCACATACCCACATAAGAATAACTTCCTAAGAAAGAAGACAACATTGCATGCAGTCTGCAAACTTGGAAGACCATCCTGCACTTTATAGGCATAATGTTTACTTCATTTTCCTTCCTCCTTCCTTCCCTCCCTCTCTTCCTCTTCTTTCTCTCTCTCTCTCTCTCTCTCTTACATACACATGCACATCTCTCTCTCTCTCTCTCTCTCTCTCTCTCTCTCTCTTTGAGACAGGTTCTCATGAAGCCCAGACTGGCCTCAAACTTACTATGATGCCAAGGATGACCTTGGACTTCTGATCCTCCTTCCTCCACCTTCAGAGTGCTGGGATCACAGGTGTGCACTACCACACCTGGCCACTTAAAATTATTTTTCAAGGCTAATATACGTAAATTTCCCCAAAGTTCAACCCTGATATTAAAAAGTCTTCATTTTAAATTACAGTAATGAAATGAAAAAAACTATGCATACTTTACTTACTTTATAAATCAGGCTGTCCACCAAAAGGTCATGCTGTATCACATTGGTCTTAAGCTGCTCATAATACAGGATATCCTAAATTTAAAAGTAAAATAAAAAATTAAAATGCAATAGGATTTATAAGATCAGTCTCAAACTTTAAAAAATAAACCAATGATAGTATCATAATATTAAGTGGTAGGAACTCTTTTATTCAGTATTTATTTGTTCATCACTACATATTGCTGGCTGAGCAATAGTAGATGTTCATTAAATATGCTTATTTTCATCACTGGTACCTAGTGGGTATTCAATCAGTAACTGCTAAGCTGATTGACTATAATGTAACTTTAATAATGAATACAGATTTATAAAGTAGTTACTAGATGCTAGGAATATCTTACCCAGTACATGAGTTGACTTCTAATAAAGTAAAACAGGTAGTGATTGTTCCCTACATTTACTTTTGAGAAGCTAAGCCACAGAGAGAAAGTCAACTTGCTGTCCAAGGCCACAGAGCTAGCAAGATTTGATCCCAGAAAATCTGGCCCCAGAACATATGGAAACATCCAAGAAGATTACTCTGGATTGCTTTTCTAATACTTATATTATTAGAAAATAGTAAGGCTAAGCATAATAAGTCACATTGGTAGTAAAAACAATCATAGCATGTAAAATAAGACACCCTTTTATATTAGAATAGGATCTCATAATCCCACGAAAATGGATTAATTTAATGGAGAGTAAGAAATAGAAAAGAGGGAAAGTGAAAACAAGAACCAAGAGGAAAAGGAAGGGAAAGGTGAAAGCAAGGGAAATGGAAAACACAGCCAAATTGTCCATCGGGTTAATAGTTGGTTCAGTCCTACCCAGCTGAGAACCCTAGGAACTGCAAAACCAATCTGCCAGGCAAGATGTGCCTGCTAGTAAAAAAGTGGCACAACTGTTATCCAGGCAACCAAGTGCTCTGTGAGTCTTTTTCAAGCCTGCTCCACAAGGTAGAATTATGCCTGGTACTGTAAACATTTTTAAAAAAATCATGATTGAAGAAGTCTTATGCCCCAGGGGGGGCAACTTAATACTGCTGTTTAGCTAAATTAACGTAGCACTAAGCTGCTTTCTAAATACCTACGTTTATACTAATAGAAGAATGCTACTCTGCCTTAATCAGAGAAATTTCTCTTCACAATGAACAAGAGGGAATGCAGGCACACAGCTGCACAAGGCACTGAGAGTAAGTGATGATTGTCCTGAAGTGCTCGGTTATAAACAGGACATCTGTACTACCCCACTAAGGCTCAGGGAACAACAAAGAAGAGAGGGGGTAGAAAGGATGTAAAAGCTGGAAGTCAGGGATAAGATCTATGAAATGTCATCTTCTGGGCATGACACAGCAATGCAGTTATCTCATAGTAGCAGCAGTTGCCTACAATGAGGCTGCATAAGACTGGGCCTATCAACAGGTAATCATAGTTTGGGGAGGAGCCCATATGGCCTTACCCATTCCTGCTGAACTATGAGCTACTGATGAATTCTGGGGAGAGGGAAGATATTCTCTTGAGTTGTGTACCCACTGATGAACCCACCATCTGCTAATGGATAATTCTGAATCCATGGTCACAAAGATGGTCCTGGCTAAACTCAGAGTCACAAAACAAAACAAAAAGACATGAATGCGGGAAAGGGACTACGGGTGGGTGGGTAATAGCAGTGGGAAGGAGATAAGAGAGGGTTACAGTGATGGCAACCAGACTGCGATACAGAGAGAGAGAGAGAGAGAGAGAGAGAGAGAGAGAGAGAGAGATCGCCATATGCATATATATGGAACTGTCTAAACAACAAATTTAATAAAAGAAAAAAAATTTTAAAGTAGATGGTAATCTCCCCTCCAAAAAAAAATTGATCAAGGCATTAAGGATTTAGAAGGGGATCAAGTGAACAGCAGCTGTGCCAAAGGGAGGCACTATCGTCTCACCACTTCAACTGACTCGATACTCCTCTGAATCCCTCCCCCCTATCTTTCAGACACTTTAGCTCTGCTCCCTGCTCCTATCCACAGGCTGCCTGGCTTCAAGCACACATGAATCTGTATGACTCTATCTGAAGACATTCCTTCAAAAATTAAAAATTGTGAGTCAGGATGGTGTGGGACAAGGAGGAATATTTATTGCACATAGCTTCCTTGATAGGATGATAGTTCACCATATATTTCCTGAAGTTTGATTTATGAATCTTGAAAGGTGCTTAATAAAGTTATCTGTTATGAGTCAAAATGATCTTTGTATAAAGATAATCTGTTACTGGCTATTCTTAATAATTTTAAGTTTAATTTTTAAAAACTTTAGTTCTTATTCATGATATTTATATTTGTTAACTAAGGAAATATAATCAAATGATGTCATCTTTAGCTAGAATGTAAGGTCCTTAACAGAAGAAATGACTTTACTGAAACGTCTTGTCAAATGGCAAAAGTTTGTCTATTAAAAAAAAAATTAAAGGGCTGCAGAGATGGCTCAGTGGTTAAGAGCACTGGTTGCTCTTGCAGAGGACCCAGATTTATTCCCAGCACCTACATGGCAGCTGACACCAATCTGTAACTCCAGTTCCACGGGATCTGACATCCTCCTCTGATCTCTGTGGGCACGGCACAACACAGGTGCACTTACGTACATGTAGGCAATATACTCATACACATTTTTAAAAAAGGGGGCTGGAGAGATGGCTCAGCGGTTAAGAGCATTGGGTGCTCCTGTAGAAGGCCTAGGTTTGAAACCCAGCACTCATATGGTGGCTAACAACTGCCTGTAACTCCATTTCCAGGGGATCTGACACCCTCTTCTGATCTCCACGGGCACTGCATGACATGTGTGCCCTTACATACATGCAGGTATACACATAAAATAAAAATAACAAATAAAACATTAAAATAAATTTTAAAAATTTAAATTAAGTTTAAAATTAGAAACTAATATAGGACTACAAAATAAGAAAAGCATTCTAAAGATGGGTAAACAAAACGTTACTTTACTTTCCTTCCACTTCATTTTTGCAAAGCAACTAAGGTTCTTGGTATTTTATATTGCATTACAGTTAAAATTTGTGTCCTTCTACACCTTTCTTTATGCTTATACAAATATAAAATCATGGATGGAAGTCTTAGCTTTCTTTCAATATAAAATGGAATCACATTATACTCACATTGAGCTTTCCAAACCTATAGATATCATGGTTGTGCCTCTGCTAGTAAATACATGCCTAACTCATTCTTTTTTACATTTACTTATTATATCTGTGCATGCATGTGTGTGTGTGCATGTATGTGTGTGTGTGTGTGTGTGTGTATGTGTGTGCATGTATGGGTACCACAGAATACACGCAGAGGCCAGAAGACAACCTGTGGAAGCTGATTCTCTTCTTCCACAATGGGATCTAGGGATCAAATGCAGGTCAGCAGCCTTGGCAGTCACCTTGCCAGTCCTAACTCATGCTTTTTAAGAGCTGTATTTAGTCTAGTATTTTAAAACTCTGGAATATATGTACAATTGTGTGTATGTAGCTGCACATGTACATAGGTGCACATGTACATGTACATGTGTTAATGGAGACCAGAGGACAGTCTTGGGTACCATCCACTTTTTTGTTTGTTTTCTGACATAAGTCTCTTAATGACCTGGAACTCACTAGGCTGACTGGCTAGTGAGTCCCAGACATCCACAAGTCACTGCTCTCCAGCACTGGAATTATGGTCATGCTACCATGCTAGGCAATTAAAAAAAAAAAAAAAAAACATGTGTTCTGAGGATTGAACGTGGGTTTTCTTTACTGACTTATTTCCCCAACCCCACGTATCACAATTTCAAAATAAGCCCGCTATAAATGGAGACTCAGGCTGTTTTTAAGCTGCTTATCCCTAAGCATAATACTGCAGTAAGCCCCTGCCTGCACCATGCTTTTGCATCTGTGGGATAAATGGGCAAAGGCAGAGCTATAGGTTAAAGATTATGTACAGCTTAAGTTGGGTCTCTCTCTCTCTCTCTCTCTCATATATACATTTGCATATATATATATATATATATACATATATATTTCAAACTCCACCCGGTACCACGAAAGAACATTTTACCTACATCTTCACCACCATTAATTCTGTCATACATGCAGAATGGCATCTCACTGTTGTGCTAATTTGTACTTTGCCAAGCAACAAGTTGAAGCTCTTCTCATGTTTTGTGGCCATTTGGACTCCAAATCAGCCTTTCATACGATCATATATCCTTCTATTTGATTTTCTTTCTCTCTATAATTTGTGGGATTCTTCATTTAGAAGACTTAACCTTCTGTCATTTGTGTTGCAAGTGCTTTTTCTTCAAAATAGCAATGTTAATTGCATTTTATGGCATTGACTGACAGTTCTTTATGGCTTAGAGTTTTCTTGCTTCAAGCAAGGCTTCCACACCACATGTTTATGCAAACATTTCCAAGAAATGGTATTTTTTTCACTGAACTATTTATAACCTTCTTGGAACTTATTCTTGTATCTGGTATCAAAAGATCTTACTGTTTTCTGGGGAACTGAAGAAATGGCTCAGCAGTAAAGAGCACTGGCTTCTCTTTCAGAGGATCTGGGTTCTGTTCCTAGAAATTACATGGTGGCTAACAATCATCAGTAACTCCAGTTCCAAGGAACCTCATGCCCTCTTCTGGTCTCTTCAGACATTGCACAAATATGGTACATTTACATACATGCAGACAAAGTACTCATACACATAAAACTAAATAAATCAAAAACCTCACCCAGCCATGGCTCAGAGACCCACTGGAGAGGAGGGGGTAGAAAGATTATAAGAGCCAGGGTTGGTGCATGAACATAAGGAACTGGGAACTTGCTCATATGAATTTGCAACAATGGACAAGACCCATGCTGACTCAATCAGAAAAAAACAAAACAAAACCCAGTATAGAACTGGGGAAATGGGCAACCTTAGCAAAGGAACTATTGACAACCAATTACTGCCAGGTGAGGGAGAGTTGATTTTCTTTAAAGAAGAGACTCTAGATAGGTTGGCTAGACTCCAGGGGATGAACTTGCACTGAGG